GAGGCGTCCGTCCCCCCGGCCCGCCAGGTGAGCGAAGCGCGGGAGCGAGCGCCGTCCGTCCGGGAACTCGGCGAGGGGCGACCGAACTCGGGAAGAAAGTGCGGCCGAGGTGGTGCGGGCAACAAAGGGCGATCGGGGAAGCGTCAGCTCTCCTCCCGAGCTTTGGAATTTCCCGGTATTATTTTACGGAGTCTAAATGCAAGATCTAGCTTTTTGGTTTCTTGTCTTCTGAACTGCTAGAACTAACCTGAGAAAACAACTGTTTGCCCGAACCTAGTTGGTGCAACGCAGAAAACCTGAAGAGTAAAGAATGATTTTGTGCATCTTTTTACCCCTAAAAAGGATGAGACGTTTATGTCCTTTGCTGGAGACTGTAGGAAGGAGATTCCTTCTGCTTCGATTTTAATGGAGAACTTTTTTTTTTTTTAAAGCTTTATTTCTGAAAGGTGTATTAAGTGTAATCTGGAAATGCTCACAGGAGAAACTATTAAAAATATTTTTCTACTTTATTTTTTTAAACACTGTATACTTAGGGCTCTAGTACGCACCAAGACTTTGCCCTCCAAGTCCCATGTCTGAATGTTACAGATTGTTTTCTTAGGTGGAGGAGATGTTTTCGTTCATGCTGCCAGTGTGGAAATACAAACAAATGCCCTATTTACTCGGGATTGGGTGGGAAGGACGGAAGTTGTCTAAAATCTTTCTTGTCAGACCGGACAGCGTATGTGTGGAGGAATCTTGTATATTTTCTTGCCCAGACTAGTAATACTCATTTATAAGTGATTGGGTATAATCCTTGGTAAACAGCACTTCGAATGAGCTTCTTTTTGAAAAACTTGGATACTGATCATTTAAAAGTAACACATTTTCTCCATTACTAGGAGTCAGAAATTCAAAATTAGTGATAATTGAGAAGAAACTAGAAAGAGGAGTGATGATGCTCTTAGGAACAGTTGAGTCTGACGTTTGGGCTCCCTTTGTTGCAGAATGTATTTGCCGGCAGCTCTGGCGTGTTCATTCATTCAGCAATGTTTATGGACTGTTTGACCCCTTAAAATGTGCCAGTCCTGACTGGTCATTGGACATACACTGCCAGGTAACAGCCGTATGGCCCAAACTGATTAAAAGCAGATCAAGTAAGCCTTCCTTCGTCAGCTCCTGAAGAGATGCCTGGCGCTGGTTCCAAGGTTCTCAGCACCTGAGGAGCCTGTAGTTGGCACTCTGTTGATTCTGAAGATCAGCTCAGATAACTACAGAAGTAGAGTGGAGCCTGGGAACCTGAAGGGAGAGAACTGAAGGCTTGGGTGGAAGAAAGCGGAGCACAGGGAATCCTGCAGAACCAAAGGTTCAGGTGCATCCTTTCAGCAGTGTTGCGGGACAGCTGCCAGTGCCAGGGGAATCCTAGGAGCACCCCAGAACTCGAGCTCTTCTTTTGCTGGTGAAGGTCAGCGTCCTGTTTCAGTTTCCACTCTACTTTCTGATGGCCCTGGCAGCCTGCAGCAGTCCCCTCTCCAGGAGCGACCCTACTGGCCACTCTGCGACAGCCTCTGGCTACACAGGCACTGATAACCGTGCATCTGGTTAGGAGCCTGGTCAAGCTGCATACCTGAATAATACCCGTGTCCCCTTCTAGGCCAGCGATGTTAATCGTACTGTCTGTGCAGTGACGAAGAGTGTGGAGTGCATAGGGCGTACTGTCCTGCCTTACCGGGGAGGGATCTGCTCGCTCGTTAGGACTTACTTCTTTGGGGGTTTTTGTTTGCTTGTTCGTTTGGTTGGGCAGTGGTGGGGATTGACACCAAGGGCCCTGTGCATACTAGCGAAGTGCTCTGCCACTGAGTTGCATATCCATATTTTGAGACAGTCTCACTAATTTGCCCAAGCTAGCCTTGAACGTGTGATTCTCCTGCTCAGCCTCCTGAGTATCTAGGATTGCAGACACGCACTATGTGCCTGGCTATGAATGCGTGTCTTCATACTGGGTAGTTCTAAAGACCTAGCACTATGAGGACTTGATTCTCATTTTCTGTTGGGGCAAAATAACATCTTGACTGTTTTGAAGAGTGCAAAGCCATGACATAAGTATATTCATAGTGTTCCCCAGGTATCATGCCTATCTAGTTTCAGAGCTTTTCATCGCCCTAGAAGGAAACCTGTACCCATTAGTTATTCCACTTTCCCCCATTACCCTGGCAACCACTAATGAGTTTTCTGTCTCTGTTGATTGGCTTGTTCTGGACACTCATATAAATGGAATCTTAGACTATATGGCCTTTTGTCTCTGGTTTCTTTCGTTTAGCGTATTATTTTCAAGCCTCATCCACGTTGTACCATATATTGGCTCTTTAGTCTTTTCTGTCGTTGCATAATATTCCTTCGTAGATATATGTCATATATTTATATGTTCATCTGTTGGTGGACAGTGAGTTGTTTTCACCTTTGGCTATTGAGAATAGTAGTGCCATGAACAACCATGCTCAATTTTTTGTTTGAACACCTATTATCAGTTCACAGTAGAATCCTGGGTCACATGGGAACTGTTTAACTTGTTGAGGAACTGCCAGACGTGCTTTCTTCAGCAGCTGAATCATTTTCCCTTCTCCCTAGCAATGTCCGAGGTTCTAGTTTCCCCACATCCCTGCTAACAGTGGTTGTTTTTCATTTGTTGTTGTTGCGCTCATTTTAATCATGGCCATCTTAATGAGCGAGCAGTGGTGTCTCATCATGGTTCTGACTTGCATTTCCCTAATGACTAATTGTGCTCGCCGGCCACTTATTTGCATTGTTGGCCTCCCCCATCAGCGGTTTTGTGGTCCTCAGTTTCACTTACCTGCATAGTGGTCTGAGATGATACCGGAGCGCCATGAGCAAGTAAAGGTATTCCGAAAGTGAGAGAAGCACTTTCGCACAGCTTTGTTCCAGTGCATAGTTACTAGTTATTGCTGATTTCTTACTGTTCCCAATTTATAAGTTAAACTATCATGGTATGTATGTAGGAAAAAAATACTGTACGTAGGGCTGGGTCCTAGCCACAGTACCATGCATCCTCTGGGAGGTCTTGCAAAGTAGCCCCGCAGGTGGGGTGGGAGGGATCACTGTATACATCTTCTTTAGGGAACTGTTAAGATCTCCATCCTCTTTTGTACTAGATTTTGTATCACCATTAAATGTTGCATTGCAAACAGTAGTTATTTTTATAGGGTTTGGTTTGTATTTTATGTTCCTTTTCAATTCTTTGTTCTCTTGCGGTGTTTTCTACTTTCTCTTGTAGGCTGCTTCTCGTGAGACTTGTCTGACTGGTGCTTTGAAATATTTAGTATTGGGACTGTTTTAGTGATCCAAAAGCCTGAGGTGTTCAGTGGTTCATTCAGCAGTATCTGTAGACTGACCACCTGCCCTGTGTCAAGCCCTAGGTAGTCACTGGGCACAGAAGCAGATGTGCACAGATTACATTTTATTTTTGAAACTGACAGATTAATGGACCATAGAAGAAAAGAACCATATTACACTGGAACTGAGGGGATTTGCCTCAGGTTTTGTGACTGGACAGCTATGACCCTAGGGTTGACTGCGTTACCTTCTGGGACTTGGTTTCCTGGGCTGTAAAATTGGAGGGGTGAATGATCTCTCAGGCCTTGAAACTGGTGATTGAAATTTACTGATTCACCACAGCTTTCCTGTGAAAACCCAGTTCTCTTAGAGTATTTAAAATAGTTTATTTTGCACAAATCACAGCCGTACCTTAGTTCGCAAACAGAAGCAGTTGGCAGAATTTCATTTTTGTTTGCAAAAACATCACCCTGCATCAGGTGATGAACACAAACATGGCTGCCTTTTCCAGAATTGTGGAATGAATTAACTTCGTGAACCTAATTACCACTGTGCTTAAAGGAATTACCTCATGTGGGAAAAAGTCCTCTTTTGTACTAGACTGTAAACAAGTGTAGTTGGCACACTGCTGCCTCGCCAGCCAAATGGGGCATTTGGTATTTCCTGTGTGAAGATCCAGAAGGCTTAAAGGGCTTAGAACGTATTCACATTGCTATCGTGCTTTTTGCACAGTGACGAAGACAGGTAAATAAGGAATAGTGCCTGCCTTTAAGTTTTGATCTAATAAAGAAGGTAAAGTATGTTAGGTACAAATTAATAACAAAGTGATCCACAAGTCTTTTGGGGTCAGAGGACACAGGTTCTTCCTTTCTGAGCTGTCAGAATAGCTACTTGCAGTGTAACGTTGGAGCTGGGCCAGCAGGAGGAAAGGAGAAAATGAGGCTGAGGCTGTCTTTGATTGTCATGCTGCAAGAGTTTAGCCTTTAACTTGGGGGCATTAACAGCGGAAGGCTTAGCAGCACAGTAGTGATAGCAGATCTTGGTTTCTGGCTTTCTGTGGAGTAGACGTTTGCAAATGTAAGGGAGAACCTTGAGTAGAGTGTTCAGGAATGAGTAGGGTAGGTTGGAGATGTGGAGAGGTATAAAGGAAAGACCCCTCGAACAAGGGGAAGACACCTGAAAATATCACTGTCAGCGTTCTCGGTGCGAAAAAGCTTTCAAAAACGTTTGCTCACGTGGCGAGCGAGAGGCAGCTCTGTGAGTGTTGTCGCGGATGCTCCATACCTGTTTCCTTGTGTGATAAAGATAAGTTGTCCCGTGTACACACACACACACTAGGTGACAGTGACGACTGAGCTCCCATCATGCAGGCGGCCTATGTGCGTCAGATTCTTTCAGGGTTTGTAACATAAATATCCTGTGTGCTCACGGTTTTCTTCTGTTGATTGCTGTTCTGACTTTAGAGATACTTTCCGTGGAAAAACGTGTTAGTCTCAAAGAAAACCACAGGAACACTTCACTTTTTTACAATGCACATTATCAATTCTATTCTACAACTACTGGATGAACCATAGCAAACTGGTACTCAGACACGGGCGAGGTTAGTTTTTATTTTGTTTTCCAACCTGGTCAGGTTACAGATCTGATGCTCAGCTGCCAACTGACCTTTTTCATTATTTGAATAATTATCAAACTCT